CTACCCGCACTTGCGTCCATGTGGATTTAAAAAAAAAGAATTGTCCGTGGAAAGACAAGGACATGCTCCTACCCACCTATACTGGCAGGAGGACTCCTTTGCTTCCTGCGCCTGTATAGGTGCCACCCACTTTTCTGCTGCGAAATAGCAGTACTTAATACTGCTGTGTTGCGATCGGAAGGGTATTCAGAGACTATGTCTTTGGTTAAAGTTGGATGCAGATGTCCATGAACTGCACTAGGCACTAATCCTCAGACTGTAAGTGTAAGTTCGTTCGTCTCTTTAGTTTTATAAATAAAATCCTGTCGGGCAAGGTGTTCAACCCGTGAAGCGGGCAATATTCCGTGACTTCTTTGTTATTACCGTAATAAGAGCCGTGGTAGCTCAGATGGTTAACGCTCGCTGTAAATATAACAGAACGCGAGTAACCCGGGTTCGAACCCCGCCGGCACCAATGAAATTGTTAATTGCAATTTTAAGTGCTGATTTACCACGTGCTCGGCGGTGAAGGAAAACATCGTGAGGAAACCTACATGTCTGAGGAATAAGAAAAAAAATTATGCATCTGGGCAGCGCGGCGGACACTTCCTTGCCCTAAAACCCCCTCAGAAATGAGGGGAGGCCTGTGCCCAGCAGTGGGACGTATATAGGCTGTAACTTTACTTTACTTTACTTTGTTATTACCACTCGGAGCTTGTTATTTCTATATATACAAAGCGTGACTAAGACTTTATGGTCGGTGTGTTTATGTTATTGTAGCTGGATGTCAGCCAAATTACTATTGACTACTAGTAGACCTCACCCGAGAACATGGGTCATAAAAATGACTGTGACAGAAGCAGTCCTCCGTCAAGACAATGTGGGCCAATCAACGGATGTCGTTGTGAGTTATTAACTCAGCAAAACGTAAATTGGGTTGGAATAAAAACAATTTTTCCGCGACCATATCCAGTGATTACTATACTGGCTTCTATAACATTTTTATAAAGAGCTTTTACCTACTAGAAGTCTAGTTCCGTCGCAAAATTCAAGTGGACTAAGATTTCATAACATTACAGGTGCTCTAACTTTAAGAAAAAATGTATAGTGAAGTAGATGTCATCGGTTTGAATAATAGAATCAAAATAATATTTTGACAATAACCAGCTTTATTTTGTCACTAATATGAGATATTAGCGTCAGTTCACACCGAGAAGAAAGGCGACGCAACGCGACGACGATGCTTGAAGAGACTAGTGATTTCTCACGTAGCTGCGCAGCGCGCCGCCGCGAGACGCATCGCAACGTCGCGAAGTCGCTGGCAGCGCACCGCTCTTACACGCTGCGCTGTGCCAACAGACGAAATGCCGCCGCGTGAGAGCCGCGTGAGATGCGTCGCGCACGTCGCGAGGCATCTCGAGGCGCAGCGAGGCGTGGCGCGACGCCGCCGGGTTTTTGAATTATCTCAATAAAATGTACATCTTTTTGTCTAGTAAATAAAGTTATATTTTGTATAACTATCTTAAAAAATGCGCGTCACGTCGCGTCACGTCACGTGTGCGTTGACCGCTGACCAACGACTACACATTCGGGCTGTGTAGTCGCTGGCGCTGACCCTTAGATTGCCTTATAGCACAGCTCGTAGAAGAGATATTTGCCAAAGTTGCCACGCTTGGCAAGCGTTTATATGAGATATTGAGAGTAGGTAATTAATATTCAGAGTATCTATGTTTAATATTTTATGAACCATGATAATATGGTAATAAATTATGTAATGCGAAAAATTTATTATATTTATGTGCTACAAAAGTTTACAATTTTTTTATTTTAAAGAATATGAGTTAGATACGAGTAGAAAGTCCACCTGATGGTACCTAATTAGATGCTGTGGCCCATAAACATCTAAATATATCCTCGATTAAGAATCAAAATGCAGATGCGTTGTCATCCTTGAGGACTAAGATGGAATGCCTCGTTTCCAGTAAAAGGGTTTCTGGTTCTCTACACTCACCATACGAAACAGAGCAGCATTTAACTGCCATTTTAGGCTGGTATTCTATGAGAGTGTGGTCCTTCCCCTGTCGAGCAGACCCATTCGTGCTACAACCATACAAATATAGCTGTAGCATGGCTCTACCACGTATAACTAAATATTTTCTAAGTACTAAAAGCCTGCAAAGTATTCTCGAAATAAGTATAATATAATTTTTTCTTCATTAAGTATATATTGCAGAATTTGAAGCGACTGTATTTCTTTATACGTGGTAGGTGTATATTATGCTAGGTAGTTTGGGCACAGGAGTAATATGTAACTTAAACTGTTATTTATTCTGTGGTAGGTACTACGTAATTTGGGTTGTAAAACTGCAATTTGTGTCGTGTTTTTTTGACCCTTAATCAGAAAACCCAATGTTGGAGATTTATAATTTTATTTAAGTATCTACAGAGGTATTAAATCATCTTTTTTTTCAATCCATCTATATATATTTTACCCCATTGATTCTTAACAACAAAATTACTTAACTTTTATTCCCTTTTTAAACCACTTCTAGGATTTTTAAAAATATCTGAAACACGTGTTTTTAAGGTTACGCGTACCTATCTTAAAAGGAAAAAATTGAACCCTAATATCTTTATTGTCCTGTCTGTACGCACAGAATAAATAAGAGTTATTATAACCTGTTCATATCAAAAACCCTTTTTCTCAGGAACATGTTCGTGTAGTTATTGAGGAACTATTTAAATTATAGATAGATACTATAGATGATACCTATTCACGAGATTTTGACAGTTGAATGATTACCTCAGTACCTTTGTTGTATGTGGCAGAAATAAGAAATAAAGTTAATTATTAATAAAAATCAAGGTCCCACCGAGATTTGAACTCGGATCGCTGGATTCAGAGTCCAGAGTGCTAACCATTACACCATGGAACCGTTGAAGAAACGTACGAAATTATAAAAGATATATATTATACTATATTACGTTAATTTTACATTTTTACTCATTGATGATCACTTACCTTTATTATTACACTTACCAATATATAATTTTGTAAATAACTCTATAGGTACCTGTCTTTTTCTATTGTTTTTAACTTTGAGTATTAAAGGTTTAAGCTTTTACTAAATTGACGTCAATTTTTATGACTGAGAGCCGATTTTTCAATCGTCAGATAAAAGTTATTTATCAATTATGATTTCTAACCTGACTCAATATAAAAGTGAAAAAATTAAACAATTTTATTCATATAACAATAAATTAGAATTTGTTTGTGTTCTATTGTATAATAAAAATAAAAATTTTATTTAATTTATTCGTGGGATAATATCCCAAGAATAAATTTTATCTAAAGATAAAAAATCGTCCATAAGGATAAAAAGGTACCTACCTAACTATTGGCACTAAATATGTTCGAAACCTAAGTAAGAATTAATTTAGAGACTTAATTGTAATAAATACCTAATAATAATTAACAGTTATTCACAGTTTCCTTACCTATAGCTTTCTCAAATACCTATGTAGATGATCTAACTTTTGTAACCCACAATTTACAGTTATTTATCTCATTTGCTTCTTGCAATATGAGTAGGTACAAATTGTTAACGCAACGGGTTTTTAAGTTTATGGTAGGTTTTTGGATAGAATACTTTTAGATTTTTAGAGAATTGATATTTTGACTTTGGACAGAAACATAGATTACATACTAGGTAGGTATATAGCTTTATAGGGCGGACAGAAACGTGAACTAATTTATACAGACTGTGGTCAAAAAGATTTAGATTTTATTATACTTTTAAATGTCTGACTGCGGTGGATGTTTTGACTTTGAAACACATTGATTTATATAACTTAATGTTGAAACAGAAACGTGAACTTCCATGGACTTCTCAATAGTTCTTTAATGTATCGATAGGTGGCACTGACATAAATTGTATTTCATTGTCATTTAGAACGGTAAATATTATACTAGTACTTTACAGAATTTATGAAAAATTAATAGATAATAGGATTTTTGATTGGGTGTTATTTGATTAGTGGAATTAAAGATATGAGTATTAGTAATTTTTTATTTTTGTATTAGAAATAGATAAACCAAACTAGGTACAAATATTCATAAAAATAGAAAAATATAAAACATATTAAATAAAGTTAAAAATCTACTAAAAATTATTTACTGCTTACAGGTGGACACTTTTTCAACTATTCTCCTATGGGAGTTGGTACTCTTTACTTCTACACTACACTCCATAACCAATTAATTATCTGTTGTTGTATATAAACTTTTATCTAAAACGTAGCTTATAAATTATACACCTACCTAACTAGCGACATCTAGTGGGTTGAAGAGAATCAGCCCTAATTGTTAGTAATATCACAGAATAAATAATAGTACTACGTAGTAATATACTATCAAAATATACTAGTGTCATATTCCTCTACAAGATGCAGGAGTGTACAAGCTTGATTGTGAATGTGGTATCTCTTATATAGGACAAACAAAAAGATCAATTAGAACCCGCGTAAAAGAACATATAGCTGATGTGAAGCATCAACGTTCCGGGAAGTCTGCAGTGGTCTGCAGTTTGTGATCATATCCTAGACGACCCCAACCATTACATTAGATTTGATAGACCATAAATCCTCGCGAAAGAACACCGATTCCTACCAAGGATGCCTGAGCCTAATAATAGCCAGCTATTTGAATATGACAGATGGACACTTCAATTTCATTTATAGGTATGTATAGAGATGAACATATTACTTAATTTGATACTAGCTTTGCCCAGGATTTCGTGCGTGTAAGTGCATAACAACATAAACTCATATTTTGAAGCCGTTTCACATTTGCCCTGAGCATAGCATGTGGAGTTTTGGCGGGATCTTGGCCGTGGACGGATTGTCGGGAACCAGAGCCGTGAAGCCAGTTGATAAAGAAAGCATAGCGTGTGCAAATTTCATACACAAATAGAAAGAGAAAAATATATGTTGGTTTTTTGTTAAAATTTGAATAGGTACTATTAATATAATTGAAAGATAGAGAGAGGTAGGTAGGTACCTGTATGAGATAGTTGGCCTTGTCCAATCTCAATCAATCCGGTGAAGAGGGCGGCGGCGAGGCCGTAGTGCGTGTCGTTGGCGCGCTCCAGCAGCTCGTCGATCTGCGAGAACTTCATGAACTGCTGCACCGGGCCGAAGATCTCTCGGCGCGCGATGTCCATTTGGTCGCGCACGTCGCAGAACATGGTCGGCTGCACGAAGTAGCCAACGTGGCCCGCGCGCTCGCCGCCCGCCACCAGCCGCGCGCCCTGCCGCTTGCCGCTCTCGATCAGGCGCAGCACCTGAGCGCGCTGCTTCCGTCCACTGCGGGCCCCGCTCGGCGGGGACAGAACGGAACGGACCGGATTCTGCCGGCGTGGCGCTGCGCTGCTACTTCGCTCCTCGCTAGTGGTTCACCGTCGCCGCTCACCGCACGCCGCTCACCGCACGCTCTTCAGCACGTTCATCGCACCGCACCGCTCGGAATGTACTTACTCTACTCTACTCTGCTCGTATCGATGTCGTCGTGTCGCCTGATCTTCTGTTTACCTTTTACTACCTTCAACTTCCACCTGACTAATAATACGTTCTACAATCATACGTGAATGGTACGATTGAAATGATATAATCTCTCCTACTTACTTATAAATCAATTTAACGCATGTAGGTCAGTTGAACGCAGTATGTCTTGTTACCCAATTACGGATTCGTGTTCGCCAGCGTCCATACCACGTTGAATACACCGGTTCTCGTCCGATCACCGAAGTTAAGCAACGTCGGGCGCGGTCAGTACTTGGATGGGTGACCGCCTGGGAATACCGCGTGATGTTGGCTTTTTGCATAATCTCCTTATTCCCACGCTTATTTTAGTTTTGCCTTATTGTTTATTCTTACTCGTCGATCGTCGTCGTTTATTAAATATGCTAAGAGTCAGTTCGGAAAGAGCGCCATCGCGTCGAGGTGGAATCCTATACCTTTAAACGAGCAATTCTTGTATATAATCGGAATTTCGGAAACGGCTCCAACGATTTTCATAAAATTTAGTGTCCAGAGAGTTTCGGGGGCAATAAATCGATCTAGCTAGGATTTATTTTTAGAAAATGAATGCCCCTTTGTCCGTGTTTTCAGGCAATAAAAAACTGCTACAATATAAGAAGATAAATTTTGAAAAGGTGCTAACGGTCGTAATTGCTGAGATGGGATGTTGTTCGGGCGTGATATCGGTGTTCCGTGGTTCGCGTCCCGTCTTGGGTCCGACTTTTTTTTTCAAGTTCCTTTCTTTTGTGAGAAAATCTATTATTTCGAGTCCTTTTTTTTTAGTATTTTTTAAAAATACGAAAATTAATAACAGCATTTTTCAAATAACCAGTTCAGTTTTTTTTCTATTGTGTCAATAAGTTCAAAAACTATTATTCATGTAATTTGTATATAAATGTAACTTCAAAAACCGAGCAAAGCTCGGTCATCCGGGTACTATTATCTAAAGTGGCATATAAAAGAAAATGAAATAATTCTATATGAACACAGCACATGTTTACCTAGGTTAATTTAATTTACAGTATCGTAGTCTTACCTTCTTCACACAGTAGGTACTTTATATTATACCTAAGTGCATTCGTCAAATTAGCACACAGTCCACCGTGTCGTTTCACGGTTATGAATCAAAATGCAGATTGCTTGAGGATTGAAGACCAATACAGCGACAGTAGCGTTATATTGCTTTTATACGCTGGTGTTCTTTCTGTACGATCGTAGCGTGGCACTTTCCCGGAGGAGCTGACCAATTCTTGTTGCATTCTCAACAATAAAACTGCGACGTGGCTCTACCTTTCTCTATCTGGTCTGTGGCTCTACCGTACCTCATGATTGTATGTGATCACTTAATGACAAGATTACACAACGAAAATGCTACTAAAGACATTTCAGCGACCTCAAGTCCCGTCTCGTAGATTCTTAATTCCTTAAATTCTAGCAAAAGAACCGTCTAAGCCTTTTTTCTGCTAACCGTCTATTATTTCAGGAGGCTTAAGTGCCAATGTGGCGGCATCTAACGGAAGTTTTACAAAAATTTTGTTAGATTCTACGTATGCCAATAATATAATGTAGATGGCGTTGAAGTTTTGATTAACAAATAAAAACCGAAAATTTATTATTTTTCTGTTATATAGGTACATAAAGCAAATATTATTTTTATTGTGATTTATTTTCCATCATTTTCAAGCGATTCAATTAATTTTCTATCTAATAATTGTCGAAGAAAACATTTCACAGATTTTTATAGTAAAAAGCGGTAGGAACGTGCTCAAAGGTACGTACCTTGGCGTTCAGCACGTTCCTACTAGTTCTGTACTATTATTCAGTACTATTATTTATTCTGTGGCCAAGGCTCGACCTCAAGTGTGTATAAGTATGGAGTGTAGAAGTAAGGAGTACAGACTGTGTATTAAAAAGTGTCCATAGAAAACCGTTAAATAAGGGTGGCGCCACTAATAACTACGGGGTAAATTTTAAAGAACGCACCGAAAAATAATAGTGGGATAGACGACTTTTTCGAGGTTATATTTACTAAATAAAATAGTTTTAGATTTTAGAGCTACTGAGCAGTTTAGCAGTACACTTAAACCGTCGACAACTGCTAAGTTCATTTCATCCCAGTAGCTACTCCAGCGCTGTTGTGGAGGATTTTTGAACTGTTATTTACTGCCCACAGATGGCCACTTTTTCAACTAATCTACTTTGGAAGTTGTTACTCCTTACTTCTACGCTCCATAGTGTATAGGTTTAAGGTTAAAAATTAAAGAATAGAAATTTTAAGAAAAAATATATAATATTTATTTTTGTACAGTTTCATATTCATTAAGCTTAACTCTAACAAATAGTATTAGGCTTATTCTAAAATGGAAGACTATTATTTTAATTATTTCGTGTTTGTGCTGTATATCGTTTGTGCGGGCTAAACTCTGATGAAATTGAATTTTAAACTTTCAGAATAGGTACCTATGGTCGGTATGGTCGGCGCCATTCTCATTATTGGATATAAAAATTATGGTCATCATCACCAAAAACGTAAACATGATGGATGACTAACAACGAGGTATAATGAGCAACGGGCTTCGATTGAATGGATCGGGTCGGGTGGTTCGGTCTGGGTTCGACGGGAAATTACGAGTTTTTCTCGGTGATCTTTACGATGACGTTCTTCACCTCGGTGTAATTGCGTATACCGTAGGGTCCGTTCTCGCGGCCGATGCCGGACTGCTTGTAGCCGCCGTACGACACTTGGTTACCGAAAACGTAGTAGTCGTTTACCCAAACGATGGAGGCGTGCAGGCCCTGTTGGAGAGAGAAACGCTCAAATTCAGTAAACATTCATCACTCAACAGTCAACTACTACAATTACTAATTCATCATCATCATCATCATTACAGCCCTTCACAAGTCCACTGCTGAACATAGGCCAAGGCCAAGGTATGCCACAAAGCACGGTCTTGAGCCACCTGCATCCATCGACTTCCTGCATGTCTTACCAAGTCGTCACTCTATCTAGTGGGGGGTCGCCCTACACTTCGCCTACCGGTACGAGGCTGCCACTTGAGAACCCTTCTTCCCTAACGGTTGTCGGTTCTTCGAGCTATATGGTCGGCCCATTGCCACTTCAGCTTACTAAACAGTTGGGCTATGTCGGTCACTTTGGTTGTACTGCGGATGTCCTCATTTCTAAGTTTATCACGCAGAGAAACTCCAAGCATAGCCCTCTCCATAGCTCGCTGAGCGACTTTCAGCGTCCTCATACGGCCAGCAGTGAAGGACCACGTCTCGGTTCCGTAAGTCATCAATGGCAACACGCACTGGTTGCACAATTTAGTTTTTAGGTTTTGAGGTATACCTGACGAGAAGATGTGTCCTAATTACTAATTAGTAAGTATATATACAATAAGTATTATAATATATACTCCCCGGACCTTGCTCCAAGAGATTACCATTTTTTCCGGAATTTGGACAACTTCTTACAAGGAAAAAAATTCAACTCCGATGCGGCAGCCCAAACCGCCTTCAAAGAGTTTATTGATTCTCGTCCCAATGGTTTTTTTTTTAGTAAAGGGATCAATTAACTACCTATTAGATGACAAAAGTGCATACTCGTAGATAACAACGGTGCATACTTTGATTAATTAAATATATTTTACAAAAAAAAAAATTGACTTTATATTCCTCCCGTACAAAACGCCAATTTCATATGTAAGGTACGTACAAACAGAAAAATGTTTGATTCTAAATTATTGCGATTTAGAAAACTGAAGAAAAGACATTGCAAAATATACTTTATATTTATGGGATAGCAAAATGGGGGCAAACGAGCAAATGGAACGAAACTATCTGATATATTTCCGTATATACACACACACATACACCCATATATATATATATATATATATATATATATATATATATATATATATATATATATATATATATACATTAATATAGCAAAAGAAATAAATGAATTATAAGTAAATAACCAATCAGGTTGGGGGGAAAGGGAAAGAAACCGGCGGACGATGCGGCGGTATCGAGGAGAACCGTCTTCTGCTTTCGAGTCGCATCAGATGACTCGAGAGGCCGACCTGGATAATATAAATTAAGGTCCCGGGTTGGCAGACACGACTACAGGAATAATTTCGGCCCGATCCCAGTAGAGCCTGGCAACATCCATATACCTACGCATACATGCTCGTCGGTTAAGGGTACTCTTAATTTGGCCCATACTCCTTAGCGACCGCATTTCTACTGCATGTCTTCTACTCTCGTGCTTCTGCCACACCCAACTTTCACTACCATAAGTTAAAGTGGGGACTAATACAGCACTGTGAATTGCCATACGTGTCTTTTTTGACACATTCTGACTTTTCACAATAAAGTGTAGAGCCCCATTTATTTATTTCCTGCATTCCCTCGTCGTTCAATATCCTTATCATATCTCCCATCCCTGCTGAATACACATCCCAAATATACGAACTCATCCACTTGCTCAATTAACTCTCCTTCTATTCTTATTTCACATACCGTTTTGCTTTCTTCTCTTTCAAAAACCATCACTTTCGTCTTACTTGCGTTCACTTTCATTCCCCTTTCTTTTAATGACCTGTTCATTAATATAACCATCATTTGCAACTCGGCCGCCGACGACGCAAGTATGACTTGATCA